GTAGAATGGCATGGTTAAAGAAGCACTTAGCACCGAATAAAGTGATTTATGGTATTGATAAGGACTCGTCGGTAGTCCTGATTATTTGAAGCAGTTTTCTCCAGTAACGGGAATCACATCCGTTTTTTCCCTAAACGCCAATCTTTTTTTTTCTGGAGACTTTTCTTTGACTCGTTTCCTCCTTCACCTTCCCCCAAAGAGCCTGCTGTTACTCCAAATGACAGTATTGTGAATGGTCATCTTGCTTGACCTTCCTGGATTTGTTACTGTGTTGAGCTGACTTTGTTTCAATAAACTACTTGAATTTGAGTTCCAGTACTTGCCTGTTTTCCAGGTGGATTGAACCATTAGTTCTAGTGCGAATCTTCTTCCTGTATCTGGGAATTTAATTTTGGAGAGGAAGAGAGTAAATATGAAAAAGTGAAAAATAAAGTGGCATGTAATAGCACTTTGTGTTTTTCACAATACACTAACTGGGACTTACCTTCCCGCAACAGTTTTGTAGGCTGTAGGAGCTGATGAGGCCATTGGTCAAAAGGTTTTGAAGACTGTTTTTTTGGTAATTGTTACCAGCGGTTAATCACAGTCTATAGACTGTATGATTTAGAATAGAAATTGCTTAATTTTTTTTCTTTTTACCAGTTATCTAGCCAGTCGACTTGCTTTAAACAAAATATTTGAATAGCTGTTGATGAGGAAACAAACCTTGAAAGATTTAAGTGACTCACAGAAACACTACAGTTAAGAGGGAAAGGACCAGGTTGTGTGTGAACATGAGAGCACAGTAGAATGTGGTGGTATTGCTGGAGATTATAGTTCTTTAGGGAGGGCAGAGCGTGTTTTAATAGATAGAAGTTATTTGAGGTCATTGAGTCTGGTCCAATCTCAGTAGATGAACAAAACAGTGAAATGGTCAGAAACAAGGATGTGACAAAAGACAAATTTCCTAATGAGACCCAGAAGATTCGCTCTGAAAGTCAGTCCTTGCACAGTTTCAAAAGTGTCTTGATCAGTGGTAATGTAGGTGAAGAAGCTTTCTTGAAGACCTATTTGATTTGTAGGTATTTTCAGGATTCTTGAATCTTGGTGGCAAAGTACAATTATTGGGAAATTAAAGACTATTTTCTGAACAGACATGAAGGTGTTTATAGAACTTGGTCCTGACTGCAAATAAAGGCTTGGTAGGAATCTGCCCATTCTACTTCTAGCTCATAAGTATGCATTTTGGCTAATGCTTAGGTATTAATAATGCTTATTAGCCTTTTTATATTCTTTAAGAATAAACCTTTTTCATATAGTACAACAGAAAAGGATAATACATGTAAGGCATACTGAATTAAGGATCGAGGCTGCTCATAGCTGTGGCCTTTGGACCATGAGAGGTTAGGGGATCAATATTTTCAGCACATGTGTAACTTTCCCATATGCTGGGGACACTTGTTGGGAAGCTTTGCTTTTAAAGTGTTTATGACTTTGGGAAAGTCCAAATCGGTTCAGCTAAGAACATATTTTAATGGAGAAAAGACTTGGATTTGTGGATATGTCATGCTGTTATTTACACTTCTGTGATTGGAATGTAATGTTGGAAAATTCCAATTTTAATTTTCAAATCCTTAGCTTCCATGAAATCTTTTACTGATGAACTTTTTTCTTTAATCTGTCACTCACTTTAGAAAGGTAACCATTTTACGACAGTGCGTGATTAATGAAACACTGTGTATGTGAAATTAAATACTGAATCAATTAAACTGTAAAACTTACTGTATACATAGCCTGTGTGCATTAGAGTACAACGGAATGCACTATATTTTGGTATTTTAACTAGTAATTAAAGAGGAGACGGTTATTTGCATCCAAGATGAGGACTCATTTAGGCTGCCTTAACTTTGCCTTCCCTGGGCTTTACCTCTCCCTCATCCCTTTGTATTTTCTTGATAACTTACGTTACATATCAAGGAATAGTTTATGATGGGCTGATACTAAAGTTTCTGCTTTATAGTTATAGGCTTAGTTTAAGGTGTACAGAGTTCTGTAGAAGAATAGGAGAAAGAATGATTAAATTTCTGGAAGGTGTGCAAGCAGTTTACAGAAAATAACACAGAAAAAGTGTTTGTCAAACTGGGGAAAGGAGTCATTTCAAACAGAAGGAATGGTGGGAGCACTGAGGTGCCAAGTGTTGGGGGTAAGGCCAGTGGTAAGGCGTTACTGGAACAGGGAGAGTGATAAGATGAATGTGCAAAGGTGCGTCCAACCTAGATTTTGAAGGACCTTGCTTGCTAAGCTAAATGCAAGGTTTATATCTTTATCCTACAGCACAGAAGGAAACCAAAAAATACATATTTTTCTGTTAATCCTCACCTGAGGATATTTTTTCCGTTGATTTTTAGAGGGGAGGGAGAAACATCGATGTGAGAAAGAAACATTGATGATTGGTTGCCTCCTGGATGTGCCCTGGAACCTGCAACCCAGGCACGTGCTTTGACCGGGAATCGAACCCTTGATACTTCAGGGTAGGGACCGATGGTCTAACTACTGAGCAACACTGGCCAGGGCCCAAAATATTTTTAGTAGGGGAATAAGGTGATTTAGAGATCACTTTGGCAGTGTGGAGGATTGCGTGGAGGCCCTACATATGAAAAAGCCACATTTGAGATGGTATGGAGTTATTGACTCTGAATCTGTTTTTAAGTTGGATATAG